CCTACGTGGGCAGCCTCTACGTCTGGAAGAGCCACCTGCCCAGGTGAGGCCCCCCCCCGAAGGCGAGGGAGGGAGGAAGGAGGGAAAGGGGGGGTTGAAACGCGCCCGAGCGACCCGGGCTGCAGCGCACGTGCAAACACACGCACGCACACCGACACGGGGTCCCGGCGGGGAAGGGGGTGGGAAGAAGGCAGCGGGACCCCCGTTCCCACGCTCAGCCGCCAACGCGGGCGGGCGGGCCTGCGGCTCTCCGTGCAAAGCTGTGCGGGGGCTCCGCTTCGGAGCGTCCCCTCGAACCCGGGCTCGGCTTCCTTCCCCTGGGGAGACGCCACAGGAGGGCCGCCTTTGAGGGAAAGGGGCAGCGGAAGGTCCGGCCTGCTTGTGTGTGTGTTTGTTTGTTTTGGGTCGGTGTGTGTATGTTTGTGTGTGTGTGTGTTTTGGGTCGGGGGACTGCAAGCCCGCGCCGGGCAGCCTCTTTGCAGGAAGGAGAAGGATCGGGCCCTGCTGCCTCCCCCCACCCACCCACCTACCTTTTCCCCCTCGGGCAGCGCAAGGGCCGTCGGAAGAAAGGAGCCGAGCTGTGGGGTGCTGAGCCCCCACCCGCAGCCCCTTTTGGTTCCTGCCCCTTCTGGGTGCCCCGGACCCCTTCCCTTCGCCTTGGGCCCTCATCCTGCCCGGTCCTTCTCCCTCCAGGGACCACCCCGCGGTGATCAAGCGGCGGTTCACCAGCGTCCTCGTCGTCTCCCTCCTCTCCCCCTGCTTCATCTGGGCCTGGAAAGAGGTGACCGGAGTGAAGGTGAGCACAAAACAACAACAAAACAAAACAAAAACAAAAAAAGGACCCAAAACCTGGAGATTTTGTTCTCCCTCCCAAACCTCTTTCAGTGCCTGCTTATTTATTTGCTTTTCTACAACCAGCCACTGCAGATGGCTTTTCATCCAGGATGGCAAAGGCTGCTTACAAACCCTGAAACCAGGTCGGGAAATCTTTTTTTTTTGGGGGGGGGGAGTTTACATAAGCTTGGCCTCACCCTTTTAATACAATACCACTTTTAGTTCTTTTTAAAGATTGTTATTGGACTTGCTGTTTTAGCTTTTAAATGCTGTTTTAACGAGGCAAAGCCACCTTGGGCCCTTTTGGGGAGGAAGGCGACCTAGAAAGAGTTGAAAGAAAGAAATTGCCGCAGCTAATTGTAGCTAATTGACAAGAGGCCAGTGGGGCACAGGGCAGAAGCCTCCTGGCACCGCATCAGTGAGCCGCAAAATGAACTGGGGCAAATGGTGGGAACCTTTCCCGTGGCCAGCCTGCGTCTCGGCCCGTGGCCCGTCTTTGCCTTGTGTCCGTGTGGTGCGCTGATCCACAGGGGTGGATTTCCGCTGAAATCATCTTCTCTTCCACTCAGCCAGGTCCATCCCTGTTCGCCCTCATGGGCTTCCGGCTGGAGGGCATCGTGCCAGCGACGGTCCTCCCTCTGCTGCTAACCATGGTCAGTAAGTGCTCACGCTCTCGCCGAGAGCTTTGTCGGTAAGCCCCCAAAAGTCATGGCCACCCCCTGCGTCTGGCCCTCCTCTTGCGTTGCAATGCCCATGCGCTGGCGAGGGACTGCGAGAGAGTTCGTGTTTGGGGCAGATCTCCTTCAGCCTAAGGTCCTTCACCAGGGCTGCTGGGCAGATAAACATGGGGAGAAGGACCATCTAGGATGGATGACCTTGTGTTGGTTGGAGGAAAGTAAGCAGGCAGTAAGCCTCTATAAACATAACAATATGCAAGCTTAGAAAAGGAGGCTGTTGTACTTTGGGCACCACCTGAGAAGGCCAGATTAGCTGGGGAAAGTGGAAGGCAGCCGGAAAGGAGGAAGGCCCAAGATGGGATGGATGGACTCCATCAAGGAAGCCACAGAGTTTGAGCCAAGGGCTGTTGAGTACAGGGACCTTTTGGAGAGTACTCCATCAAGGAAGCCACAGAGTTTGAGCAGAGGAGGGCTGTTGAGTACGGGGACCTTTTGGAGAGCCTTCACGGCCCAAAGCGTGAGGCGGCTTGATGGCATGCAGCAACCATCCCTTGGAAAAAAGGAGAGGGAGTATGCCTTTTTCTTCACTGGCGGCACAGAAATGGCGCTGGCCAAAGACCAGGGGGAGAAATCTGCCCGTCTCTCTCTGTGACAGCCTGTGGGCTTGCCTGCAGCGTCTTCCCCAGTGTCCGATGGCAGTCGGGCCAAGCTCAAAACAAAGCTGATTTGAGTTTTTAGTGGTTTGCGAGGGGCATAAACGGGCCCCTTTTCCTCCCGTGAGCTCACAGTGGTGTTCATGGCTTTCATCCTCCCAACAGTCCTGCGAGGGAGGTCAGGCCGACTGAGAGGGACTGGGCTTAAAGCCACCGAGCGAGTGTCCGGGCTTGAACCCGGGTTTTGGTGGACAGGACCCCATTCTTTGACCAGAAATACGGTTGGGAACTTTAAAAATATTGTTTGAATTCATGTGCCATGCGACCTGAAAGTGTCTATAGGTGGGGGTGAGATCCTTAACTTTGGAATATAATTAGCGCCGATGGATATGTCGGCTCAAAGGCAAAGGCCAGTTTTCTTTCCTTCTCAATGGAAGGAGGAACAGGGTCCAAACCGGCGGCATGCCGCCCCCTCCCTGAGACCCTTACTGGGTCCTCTCGATGGGCAACGGGGCCAATCCTGCCGTGCGCTCACAGAGATGCTCTTTCCCGCCAGGTCCTGTTCCTCGGGCCTCTGATCCAGCTGTCGATGGACTGCCCCTGGGACCTGGTCGATGGGGTGCGAGTCGCCTTGGGTAAGGCCTCGTGGGTGGATGGATGCGGGATGGCAACGCTTGCCTCCATGCAGAGTTTGGAGGGAGGAACCTTTTCCCACCCCCCCCCCAAAAGGGTCCAGAGACGGTGCCGGACAAAACGGGATAGCCTTGCCAGCGGGGTGGGGTGAGCGAGCGGTATAGAGGGGGCTGCAAAACTGGCAAGGCCCACGGTGCTCCCACATTATCCAGGGGGTGGTGGTGGAATCAAAACAGAAGTGACCGGGTGGCCATGGCAGGTTTCACCACTCCCAGGGTCCTGCAAAGCAGAGCATGATCTTTTGTGGCTCAAACTGCAATTCGCTTTCATGAATTGCGGGTTTTGTCAGTTTTGGTGCCACCCGATCTCTCTCTCTCTCTCTTTCTGCCACCCTGGTCTTCGTTCCTCTGCTCACGGGAGTTTTGAATTTCAGCCCAGATCTGGCAGCTGTAAAAATAACCCCAACCAAACAAAAAAAAAAGCAAGCCCTGCCAGAAGGCTCAATCAGTCCCGCGTCATCTGGGCCGCCTTGTCCTCAGAATGTGTGCCCGGCGCTGGCAGAGGAGCCCCCTTTGGACGGTTGTCCGGTCCACCTCTGGCCTGGACGCCCATATCCCGTGGGGCTGATTTCTCACCCAAAGTCTTAAAGGATCCTTGGCGTTATGGGGCCGCCTTGTCCTCAGAACATGTGCCTGGCACTGGCAGAGGAGCCCCCTTCAGACGGCTGTCCGGTCCACCTCTGGATGGATATGTTGGGGCCTCCCGTGGGGCTGATTTCTCACCCAAAGTCTTACAGGATCCTTGGCGTTATGGGGAGAACTGTGGCTTTCCTACTTTGTTAGGGGGTGTGTGTTTTGTTTTTTTTCACCTGGGGGGGCTGCCCTGAGGCACTGGGGCGTTGGCACATAGCTGCAGCTGCACCCCCAGGCATTGGGTGGCCGGTTTGGCGGGGGGGGGTCAGCCACAATAGCAGAGTGTCAGATATCATCCTCCCTGCCCTTAGGGTACAGAGGCCAATCTTTGAAAGGAAGCCTTTCTTTCCCCTTTGCACGAGGAAACCACCGCAGGACTCCAACAGGAGAGGGAGATTTTTTTCCCCTTGTCAAAAGCAGCCTTTGAAACTCTCCTTGATTTGAGGCCGGTCGCCCTCCGACCCTTTTCCGTTTCTCTGCGCGCGGGGAAAACTGTAACACGAGGCCTCTCCTATTAATGCTGCTGTTCCTCTCCTGTCCTTCTCCTCCCCCCCCCCNGGCTTCTGGCTTCTCTGTCTGACCGACATGCGCTGGCTCCGAAACCAGATCATCGCTCCGTTCACGGAGGAGCTGGTCTTCCGCGCCTGCATGCTCCCCATGCTCATCCCCTGCACGGGATTGGGGCCTGCCATCTTCACCTGCCCGCTCTTCTTTGGAGTGGGTGAGTACCGCCTGTGCGAGGGGCACCAGGGTGTGTGTGTGTGTGAGGGTTTGCAACCCGTTACCCCCACCCCGTTACTTGCTATCAAGAGGGACCAGATGGGGGTCTATTCCCCACCCCCCTCCTCTGACTCCCTTGGAGACCCAGCCTTTTTCTGTAACAAATCTACCGGGTGGCGTTGCTGTGCTAACGGGATCGGGGAGTTCCAGCGCTGCTGAGAGTTAGCAGGGCACCCAAACCAGCCCCTGTTCCTCTTGAGCGGTTAGTTATCAACATCCTGAAGTCCAGTCTTAAGTCCAGTTGCTTAACGCTGCTGGGGTTGTGCTCCGTGTGCGGTCATTTCACATTGCTTGGAAGGCGCCGGGAAGTATCCCGTCGCCTGGATGTGCGGTAAAAGAGGACTGGCGTCGGGGTCTTCCTCTGGCCGACTTCCTGTCTCACAATTGGTTCTGTGACCTGTCTCGGAAACAGGACACCCAACGGGTAGAGGACCGCGAGCCGGCTGGAACCAGGAGGACGACAGCGGTGCAACTGCCCGCCGGCTACCTTTTTGATCCCTAAGATACAGGCCAAAGACTTGGCCTAAATGCCCTTGGCCCGCTGCCTCCACACATTTCCAGGGTGTATAACCAGAACTGGCCACTAGAGGGAACCACAGGCTATGCTAGGTTTGCCCTATCCATGCTTTCCAGCACATATATGTGTGTGTTGGACCAGAACTGGCCACTAGAGGGAACCAGACTATGCTAGGTTTGCCCTATCCATGCTTTTCAGCACATGTGTGTGTGTGTTGGGGGGCTTGGAACCCCCAAAAGCCCCTCCTATGGATACCACAGTCCTACTGTAGATAAATATGTTCCCCAAAGACCTAATTGCGCCGCTCTCTGTTCCTTCGTAAACCACAGTTGGGTTTCCTTGTCAGACAAATTCTCTTTATCTCCATTTGGGGCCACTTCTGGGGAGCCCGCCCCCCCAGCTCTTTGGGGATGGGGGTCAGGATACCGAACGCAGTTGTGGGTACTTTCCTGTCTCTGAGCCTCCTCTGCCTTCTCCCTCCTAGCTCATTTTCACCACGTCATTGAACAGCTGCGGTTTCGCCAGGGAAGCACCGCCAGCATATTCCTCTCTGCAGGTAAAGGGGGGGGGCATTCCCATGATCAGCAAGGGGGCAGCGGCATGCAGATGGAAGACCAGGTTGGCCGTCGAGGTGCCGAATCTAGACGTCTTGCTTTCTTTGGAAGACCGCAATGTCCTCTTCGGGAGGGGGCACGGCTGAGTGCCAGCGGGAATGCCTGCTGCTGAAGGCCCAGGTCCTCCTGGGTGCCCTTGAAAGAAAACGGGGAGCTGATGAAGGGAAGGCCCCCTCCTCGGCAGAGCGGCTGCCTTCAGAGCCGATCGTCGGGGGGATCAACGGACAAACGGATCGGGTCCAAGGTGTCTCTCCGCATGAATACAGGGACCTACGGTTATAGTTTATGCCCCAGTTGTTTGCTGAGGAACCGCACTGTGCCTCTTCCAGCGGAGCGAGTTTTGTCCAACTCCCGTCTCTCTGCTCTCTTCTCCGCAGTGTTCCAGTTCTCGTACACAGCGGTCTTCGGCGCGTACACCGCCTTCATTTTCATCAGGACAGGTGGGTGAAGATGTCGGGGGAAGGAAGGGCTTGAAAATGAATCCTCCGTACTTGGAGAATTTAGCAGGGAGACTCCCGAGTTTTAATCCAAAGGGCAAGACCTGCTTCGGGGTGCGCATCGAGGGGGAAAGGGTGTAGAAAAAGTGACTGGGATTCTAGAATCGTTGCCGATGATCGGGTTCTCTGCCCTTTGCCCGTACCGCTAGCAAAATGTGAAGGACTGATCCAGAGGTCTTTGACCAGGATGACGTTAAGACCCATAACTTTTGTTTCATCCAATGCTCCGTGGTCATGGTTAAAAGAGCAGGCTTGGGTGGGGCATCGAGAGGGAATTCTTACCCAGAATCACTCATAGGCGTACCTCAGTTGGCGAATTTAATGCGTTCTCCGGGACGTTCCGTATTGCGAACTCGTCAACCAAAAACGGGGCTTCCCCTAGGAAGGCATGCACGGGGGCGGCGCTATAAACCTCCCAGGCCCAATGAGTGCATCCTGGGGAAACTTGCTTTGCAGGGCGAAAAAAAGCTTGTAAACCAAAGCATTCGTTTCAATGGATTTTCCTTCGTAAACCGAAAATCACGATAAGTGAGGTGCTCGTAAACCAAGGTACGCCTTGTATATTCCATCCACCTTTTTTCCCTGTCGTCTCCATAGGGACTAGCTTCTTTGCAAGTTGCCTGCTAGAGGATTTTGCTTGACGGCCAGTTGCCTTCTCTCCCCACAGGGCACCTCATTGGGCCCGTTCTTTGCCACTCGTTCTGCAACTACGTCGGCTTCCCGGCGGTGGGCGCCGTGCTGGAGCACCCGCAGCGCCTCCTGGTGGTGTCCTTCTACCTGCTGGGGGTGGCCCTCTTCTGCCTCCTCCTGCACCCCATGACGGACCCGGCCTTCTTCGGACACTTGCCCATCTGCTCGCTCTCCAGACTGACCTCGCCCCCAAACAGCCTCGGCAGCTTCGCCCTCTGCTCCTGACACCCGGCTTGGGGGCGGGGGGACTCTTTTCACCCCCCTGGCGTTAACCACTCCGGCACACGGGGCCATCCTGCACGCCTCGGCGGGAAGGGTGCCGAGCACGGCCGGACCTCCGGCATCTTGTGGGGGAGAAGCTGCGTCCGAAACCCGTGGGGCAAGCCAAGCCACACCAGCGCCCTCTGCCCTGAGCCACCCAGTCCTTTTTCTAGATCTGTGGGGCAGGTCGCCTTCTGGGGCCCCCAAAGAGCTCTATTTTTATTATTAAAGTACTTTAAGGAGACATTCGGGTCGTTTCACGGGCGTGATTTTTGGGGTCGGTGACTTCCGTCGTTCCCTGAGATTCAGAGGAACTCAGCCTTTTTCAGGGCAGGCTTGTGTTTCGGGCGGTAAGCCAGCCCCATTTGGGGGGGGCAGGAGAGGTTACGTTTCCTCAGTTTCCCCGACAAACAGAAAACCCGGTGTGTAATGAGCTATCAAACCGAATCCCACTTCGGACGATCCTAGTAGGATCTTCCGAGGCATATTAGCGGTTTTGCCTGTGACGCTCCCGCCAGCAGCGGGACCCTCCTCCCAAATCCTAGCCTGGCCCTCTCCCTCCCACACAGCACGACACAGGCTCTGAGAGAAAAGCCACAAAGGGTCAGTTTTAGGGTCCCCGGAGAGCTGATGGGAGGTGCCTCCCCCTCCGTAAAAAACCCAGAAAACGCACAGAGGGAGAGAGAGAGAGGCTCCCTCCCAGCCAATGCAGGCGACCGAGCATCACGGCGTCTCCCGGTGTGGCCAAGACAGAATGGCCTGGGGCCAACGGGCGTTTCTCAGGGGCACAAGACTTTTGTGCCATCGCCCTGGCTGGCACATGGATCAAGAGTGTGGTGTTGTGGCTAGAGCCGGCGAGGACTCTGGAAGCTTGGGTTCAAATCCCCACTCCACCACGAAAGCTGACTGGAGGGGATGTGGAACTGGTAGAGTCACGCTTCAAAAATAATACAGTGGTGCCTCGCTTAACGACGTTAATTTGTTCCAGTGAAATTGCTGTAGAGCGAAAACGTAAAGCGAAAATAAAAAATCCATTGAAACACATTAAAACCCAGTTAATGCGTTCCAAAGGGCTAAAAACTCACCGTCCAGCGAAGATACGGCAGCCATTTTCGGTGCCTGTATAGCAAGGAATCCGTCCCTAAGCACAGCGGGGAGCCATTTTGAGCACCCGGTGGCCATTCTGAAAACCCAACGATCAGCTGTTTTGATCGCCGTAATGCGAAGAATCAGTTCCTGAAGCAGGGAACCGATCTTCGCAAAGCGAGAAAACCCCATTTAAAACATCATTTTGCGATCGCAAAAACATGAAGCAGATTCATCGTAATGCGGGGTAATCGTTAAGCAGGGCACAACTGTATCTCACTTGAAAGCCTTACTATGGTCTCTGTAAATTAGTTGATGGCACACCACCACCAAAGCCACGAGAGGCAGGGGTGGGTGCCCAGACGGCAGGCGTCACCTGTTGCTTGCATGCACCCCTTCCCACACACGCAACGAGAAAAGAGGCTTGTGCAGCCAGACCAGACTCTTGGTGTGTGTGTGTGTGTGTGTTTTATTAGTACAGCATTCCTTCCAAGCCAGCCCCCTTCTTCGCTCCCACCTCCTCCCTTCCAGGTTGGCAGCACACATGTTTCGGTTTCCGGTTTCCCCGGATGATTCCCCCCTTCCCAACATCTTTAAACAGCTGAGAAAGGGCTGTGTTTGCTGCTTCTGGGGAGGGGGGGGAAAGAACCTGGAACGTCCAGGACCCCCCCCCCAAAATAAAAGTGACGGAAGGACGGGAAGGTCGAGCGGAGCCCGAGGGACTGTGTGCAACTAGCTCAGCAGCAGCGAACAGACACAGGCAGCTTCTACAGAGGGCGGGGGGAGAGGCGGTTTCCTAGCCGAGGCCACCCGAGATCCACCAGCCCTGGCTTGTGGGTGGAAGGGAACCCCGGTGGGGGAGGGGAGGGAGGGAGGGTACATGGTGCGAATTCCCCTCCTTCCAAGGGATACAAGACTGACTCTGGAGAGGAGGATTCCTTCTGCTCCCCACAGGCCATCTTTCTGCGGAGCGGGTGGGCTTGGGGCCTTCGGGTCCTCACAGGTCACTTTCCCCGTACAGGGCGCTGGAGAAGGAAACATAGTCCAAAGCTCCCGACACGGCGTCGGCTCCCGAGTACTTTGTCATCCGGCTGATGCAGTATTCGGCCTGCTCGGGAGGCAGCTCCCGGCGCAGCTCCTCTATCGTGATGTAGTTCTGCCAAAGGAGGAGAGAAATGGCCAGTGAGTGAGTGAGTCCCTCAGCCCGCTTCTCTCTCGGAGGTCTCTTTTTCTGCTGCCTGAAGGGGGACGGACGGGACGGGCAGAGTCCCTCTGCCCGCTTCTCTCTCGGAGGTCTCTTTTCCTGCTGCCCGAAGGGGGACGGACGGGACGGGCTGGGGTCTCGCGAACCCCTTCTCTGCGATCCAGCCGGCTTCCACCTCCGGTCACAGGGGAGACGGGGAGGCCGCAGGAGGGGCCGAGACGGGGAGGCTGAGAACCGCCCCCCCTCCCTGGCCTTGCGCTGGGGCCGCCCGGTTTCCTTACAAGGAGCCAGACCCCAAAGCCGGCTTCGGTGGGTAACCTGCGGTCCGAGAGCAGGCTCCCCATTTCCGTGGCCAGCGCGCCCACCCTGCTCCCCTCTCCTCCCCGGGTGGGTGGAGGCAAGACTTGCCTTGTCTGAGGCCAGGATCTTGAAGGACGCCATGACCTGTTCGGCCGTGTCGGTCTCGGCCGTCTCCCGGGTCATGAAGTCGATGAAGGCCTGGAAGGTCACCACGCCGGTGTTGTTGGGGTCCACCAGCGTCATGATGCGAGCAAACTCCACCTCGCCCTACGAGAGGCAGGAGGAAAGCAGGGGTCAGCGGGGGCAAAGCCCCGAGGGGCGGTTTCTAACTCTCTGCGACAGCTTTTCTGCTCCGAACACCTTGTGGGGTAACAAAGAGCAGAAGCTCCCGCCCGGCTCTGGGGTAGGGCCAGAAGTCACCAGGGCTGCACCTGTTGGATGTCGAGCCTGTCCTATTTGGTAGATACGGTTAAGGCCACCTTATCTGCAGGGGGTCGGTTCTAAGCTCCCCCAAACCCACAGAGGCTAACAACATGGAGACCACGAACACCAGACATTGCGTGGTCTCTGGTCCTTTCTGGTGGCCAGACCTGGTCAAGGGGAGGGGATTTTATTCAGCGTTTTCAGCCAGTGGATAAGTGAATTAGCGGATACTGATCGCGCAGATGGGTGTGTGTGTGTGTGTGTGTATGTGTCCTATTGTATTCAATTGAGGGCTTCCAGGGTTGGGGGTCCTCTCCCTCCTACCAGGTCATATCCCATGGAGATCAAGCAGGCGCGGAAGTCGTCCGGGTCCATCATCCCGTTTCGTTTCTGTAACGAGTGAAGAAGGGGGAGGGGGAGGTGTGAAGGGGGGGCCATCTCACCACCACCCCAAAGTAGAACCCCTGCAGGGAGACTCTCTCTAGGTGGACCGGATCCGGCCACGTCTCTTCACGAGGAGCAGAGACCCGCCTCCCTCCAACTCCCAGGGGGAAGTCCCCGGACCCTCCGGATTTGTTCAGAGGAAAGAGCGGGAGAGCGTTTTAGGAGGGGGTTTGGTGGCCCCGATGGCAGGCTGAAGCGCTTTTTTGGGGGGGGTGGGCGGAGGATCGGAAAGAGTCCCTTACCCGGTCAAAGTGGTTGAAGGAGGCCCGGAACTCGTTCATCTGCTCTTGGCTGATTCCTTTGGCGTCACGAGTGAGGATCTGGTTCTCCACCTCGTTGATGGTGCGGGCAATGGTCGTCAGGAGCTGCTCCCACCCCACTCGGATGTGCTGCGGTCAGCGAGAGGAGGTTTCGCGGAATGAGACGAAACAATTGTGGTGCTGCGGTCAGCGAGAGGAGGTTTCGCAGAATGAGACGAAACAATTGTGGGGTTCCTCTCTCTCTCTCTCTCTCACACACAGACACACAGAGTCCTATCTTTCTAACAGCAAGGGAGTACATTTATCGAGGACCACCCCTAGATGCAGGGATGAAGACGGCCCCAGCCCAACCCTGAACTGTACGGGCAGCTGCGGGCCGCTTTGTGCGCATGGCGACTGGCCAAAGTGTTCTCTGCCACCCGCAAGGGCAAGAAGGGCATGCCAGACACAGATGGCTCTGTCTTCTCCCCTGACTGCCACTGCCACCCCCTCCCCAGCCTATGCCCACTAAGGCAGCCCCTTCCCCTTTCTTAGCAACAGGGCTAAGCCACAAAGATTGACCCCCCCACACACACACACACACTGCCGCTCCCCACCCCTCCATCCCAGAGACTCAACCTCCATGGTGTAGTTGGTGTGCTTGTTGTCAAAGACGAGAGCCTCCTGGATGAGCTGGTGATCCCCCTCCAGCTTGTCGATATTGGCCTTGTAGTTGATGATGTTCTGCTCGTGCTGCTTCAGGTGGTTCATCTGGTCCTCCAGGGAGCCGCTGATGTCCACGGAGATGTGGCCAATCTCCTGCCGAAGGAAACCAGGCAGAAAGCGGCTTTCGACTCTCTCTGGACCGACGGATCCTGGCACGCAGCCATCCATCCTCCCAGGGGGCCTCCCTTCCCCTGTAGTCATCCTCCCAGCTAAGGCAGAGACTTCCCTGTGAACCAGCAGGAAGAAACCTCCTTCCACGCCTCTCTTCCTCCGGCTGCTCCACCAATGATTGGCAGGAACGTGGCGGGTTGCCTGTCCCGCCTCCTTGTCTCCTCCTTCCACGCCTCTCTTCCTCCGGCTGTTCCACCAATGATCGGCAGGAACGTGGCTCTCTTGCCTGTCCCGCCTCCTTGTCTGAGTGGGCGATCGGCCAAGGAGGCGGGGCAGGAAAGCCCGTGCTCCTTGCCCAGGACTGGCTGAACAGCCAGGGAGGAGGAAGAGAGGAACGAACTGGCACGAACTTCCGATCCGAGGTTCGCGCCCATCTCTAGTCTCAGCCTTTCGTCCACCAGGTGTCCTGATTTCACCTCCCAGAAGCCCCGGCCAGAAGGGGCTCCCTGTAAGAATGGGTTTCCCCCTTGGAGAATTTTGTTCCTATTTCTGCGCCCATTTCCCAAGAATACACCTTTTTTTCAGACTGAAGCCCTCGCGGATTAAAGCATTTTTATTCTACAACCGAGTGTAGTTGTCTTTGTAGACGGTTTCGGATTTGACTTGTATCCGTAATACTACAAGCGCGAAGGATCCTGGAGCCGTCGTTCCTGACGGGGCAGGAAAAAGGCCTTACCTCCATCTTCGTCTGGATCCAAGGACCAATGATGTTGGCTTGGGCAGCAAACTGGCGCCGCAGACGCTCGTTGGCTTGTTGCCTAGCCAGCTCTTCTTGCAGAGTCTGGTCGCGGTGCGGGACCAGCTGCTTCACCTGGAGGGGGCGGGACACGAGGGGACAGAGGTTCAGTTTCTCCTCGGCAAGGGGGGGGGAGACACGAGAAGGGGTGCCTCTGCCAGGAGCCCCTGTCTTCTATCTCATGGTGGGTGGCTCCTTCCTGGCCAACATGAAGCAGGCATTCTGAAGCCTGTCACCAAGACGGGACCCCTTTCGTTAAGAAAAAAAAGGACAACGTAGACGTTTCCATCTACTGGGGCTTAAGAAAGCACGGCCCTGAGGCCTTCAAGGCTGTTCTTACAATCCCGTAAGTCCCCTTCTAGCTCGATGGTCGAAAACAAAAATCGGGTCCTCCCCGCAACCCTGCTGGGGAGAAAAAAGAGGCAATACATTCACTTTCTCAATAGGCCACAGGGTCCCACGGGCAGTATTTAACAACCCCAAATATCTATTTTCCCAACTGGAGGTATAGCTAGGAGTTTACTCCCAGTCCTGAAAGTAGATATTTTGGGTTATTCATCTCTCTTTTTAAAAATTTTCCCCCTTTATTTCTGGCAGTGAATGCAGATTCAGAGAAATGGGGGTCCTCCTTGATTCACCCAAGCGGCCCACCCCCCCAAAATCACGCCCTCGACAATTCCTCAGCGCACTAATGGGTTTGGGATCTTGCAAGCTTCCCGGAGGCATCAGGACGGCAACTCCAAGCAAAGCCGTCTTCGGCACAGCTAAGGGCAACGAATGACGGTCGTTGCTCCTTGGAGGGGCTTCAAGCTCTCCCTTCGCTCCTGGGTTAGAGGTCCAAGTAACTGATCCACTGATGTCAGGGCAAAGATAAGCTATTGACTCACGCCAAGGTCAGGGAAAGCGTTAAAAAAGGAGGGGTGTTAGGGCCCAGGGGCGGACCTCCCCTCTGGCACGGAAGAACCCAGCAGCCTTTCACCTCCGAGCCAGAGGCTGCCTCTCTCTCCCCAGGGTCTGCACCCACCGCCTTGTCCCCCGAGTGGGCGAGGGAAGACGTGCAATCTGACACTGGGCTTTTCTTTCTCTCTTTTAAAGGTCTCCCCTCCCCCTCACCGTGTCCCACTTGTTGGCGATGTCCAGGTGGGAAAGGTTGGTGTAAGGGTTCACGCCCGAGAGCTTGATGCCGTAGGTCTGGGCGATCTTCTGGATCTCGTTCTGGATGCCCAGGATGGCCATGCGCTCCTTGTCGGCCTCGGGCAGAGTCGCTTTGAACTGCTCGTGGGCTGTGATCAGGCTCTGTGGAGGGAGGGGGAAGAAGAGAGAAAAAAAGGGGCGGCGGGGGTCACAAGAGCTGAGGCTCAGGCGAAGAGGAGTGGGATAAGAAGAGAGGTTCTTTCCTCTTTCGTTTTCCTGCCCTTCTTCCTCAGCTTCCATCCATGCTCTCTCCAGATGTTCAGAAACCCTGGGAGAACTGCTTTGCTTGGTTCATAAAGGTTATGAATCTGGAACCTCTTTCTCTTGGCTTCAATCCTCTTCTATCGAATAGAAGGGGCTTGCCCACCCCCAGCCTCTCCACTGACCTTTCTCCTTTCTCTCCCAGGTTTCCCCACACCTCACGCCACCCGCGTGAACATCCAGGACGGCCTGCCAGGTCCCTGGGTCCCGGCAGGATCAGCCAGGGTTCAAAGCTGCCTTCCGCTTCCTCTCCCACGCCTTGGCTTGCTCAGCAGTGGGGAGCTGAAAAGCCGGACTCTTAAAACGCCCCCGACTCAAGAGTAAATGCCATGGAAGGGGCCTGTGAGCGAAAGCCCCTAACTCCAATCCGTTTGTAAATGGTGCTTCCTGTCTCCCCCCCATCAGTATGAGTCCTCTCCTTACGCTGATCTTTGAAAAGGGGGGGGTCCCTTTGTGACTGGAATCCAGAAAGCCTTTGGATAGGATAACTGGAAAACTGAGCTTTCAAGGGGTTTTCTTTTGCCTTCATGGGTGTGGAAATGAAAAAAAGCAGAACCAGCTCTTCCACAACCACCTCCTGGATTCCTGGCTCCTGCTTAAGTCCGGGGTTCCCAACCTTGGATCAACCCAGATGTTCTTGGACAGAAATGGGGGGGGGGGAGAGCAGGCGGTGAAGGCCTCTGGGAGTGGCCGTCCAAGGAGACCTGGGGGGGTCGGGAACCCCTAGGGGTATATAAATCATGAAAGGGAGAGGGGCGAGCGGTCCTCTCAGCCCCGGAATGAAGGAAAAAGCTGCCAGGGCGCAAGGGGGGGGCAGCCGGCCAGACTCACCTGGATCTCCTCAATGCTGTGCACAATGAACATATCTTGGAGGTCTTCGTTGGCGCCATCCATCCAGTTGTTGAACGGGGCAGCCCTCTTGGCGAACTCCAGGTACAGCTGGTCGATGGTCTCCAGCAGCTTCTCCACCCGCTGGGCAAGGGGGAACGAGAAAGCAGGACAGAAAGCCGTCAGAGGCAGACGTCCAAGGGAACGCCACGCCCGGATTCCAGGCCCACTAGGCTTCAACTCTCCCAGTGCCCCTTTTTCTGGCTGACCTCCAACGAATCCCTTCTCTTCTGAGTCAGGGTCCCCAGGGTGTCCCACTGGTCACAGATGGCCTGGCAGCGGGAATTCACCGAGGCGGCATCGTGGTAGTCCAGCTCACTGCAGCAGAGAAGAGAGAAGCCAGGCGGGTGGGACCTTCTCTGGTGCCCTCCATCAGGCACACCTAATTCACCCAGGTATACAAGCCGGCGCAAATTCCACAAACCCAAACCCCGGCACCCACTTGAGTTCCTGCGCGATGGCGGCAATCTGCTCCACGCGGTCCTGGTGGGCGGCCAGGTCGCTCTCGAAGGCCTCGTGCTTCCGCATGAGAGCCCGGATCTCGTAAAGGGAGGCTGACTCGTAATCCTTCTGCGAGAGCATCTCTTCCTTCCCTGCGGCAGGAAAGCAGACGGGCGCTCAGAGGCCAGGCCACGGAGGGGCCCATGGGCGGGAAGGGAGCGAGACCAACGGGGACCCGTGGGCCGGCCTGCGAGGGGTGTGTATGTGTGTCTCAGCAGGTACCTCTGGTCCAGTTTTCGTGGAGCGTAGCCTTCTGCTTGAATTTCTCGGCCAAGTGGTCCAGACGCTCCAGGCGCCTGATCTCCGTCAGCAGCCATTCTTCGTAGCCTTTTTCAACCTGCTCCAGACCCTTCCAGGCGTTGGCGATGTCCTGCAGGCGGCACATGGCAGAGCAGCCTCAGGGCCGGGCTCTCCCTACCCCGGGCCCGGCTGGATGGGCACCGGACGGGGATCTTCCACTGGCAGGAACCCAGGGCACGCCAGCACGGGACCAACCCATGGAGGCGCCTCCCACCCTTGGCCACAAGAGAGGCTGACACGTCTCTCTCTACGCAGGGGTGGGAATCTCCATCGGCGGCCTTCTTGCAGCCTGATTGAGAGCCTTTGGCCATCTAAGGAGCGTTCTTAACAGAAGGAAGAAACTGTTTCTTCTAATCAGTCTGTTCCATACCGAGTTCTAATCTATTTCTATATTTTAATGTGTGTGTTTTTAATCTGAATGTGGCCGCTTCTTTACCTGTCTTGAGTGCTCTATCTATTTTTGCAGAAAGTCAGAATGGAAGTCTAATTAAGTAACTAATTATGTCCCAGGAGTTTCTGGACAAAGCTTTCACGGTGCCACTGCCCGGCCTCTTGCACAGAGTGGGGTCTAGACCATATCTTTTCCTTCGTAGCCCTCCTGTGTGTTTCCATCACCTTTTCCAAGTGTTCTTTTTTTGAATGTAGAAATAATTGAAGGGGAAAGCCTTTCAATATTTAACAGCAAGAGGTGGCAGTGTGGAAGTACTCTTGGCCCACAGGGCAGCCTCAAAACCCTTGAGACATTCTGGCTCTTTTTACTGAAGTCCTGGGCTGCCGTGGGGGTCAAAACAAAACAAATTCCAAATGCAAAAATAGGGGATCCCTTTATAGGCGACTAAATAAAAAATATCATCACCAGCATCCATGAGCTTTCATGGATGAATCCACACTGAGGATTTGAGCCTGCTGGGAGAGAAAGGCCAAACTCCGAAAGCTCACGAAGCAAGCTGGGCTAAGTCAGTCTGGCACAAAACTGGGAGGGCGTCTTCCCCAAAAGGGGTCTTCTGGAGCTAAATCCCTGTCGTTGTGACTGGAAGGGCTTCCGGGGGGGGGCTCCCCTTCCCGCTCTGCCCACGCCCATGACTTACGGAGACCATCTTGCCCTCGGAGGGCATGAAGGCGGGCCGGTTGCTGAGGCGCAGCTTCGTCTGCAGGGTGTTGAAGTTGATCTCCAGCTGGCATTTCTCCTGGACGCGGGGCGGCTTGTGGACGCGCCGGTAGTCCCGGAAGTCCTCCAGCTTGCGCTGCATGGCGCTCATGCTCTTTTCGGGCACGCGGTTCTCCAGCCACGGGATGGTGCGACGGATCCATTCCAGGAGCTACCAGAAGGCAGGGAAAAAAAGAGGCGGTCTGAGCCCCCTCCGGGGCGCGTACGGTCCAGGGCGCCTTTGGGTGGTTTTTCATGGAAGAACCGCACCCCCAGCCTTAAAGTACCGCCCGGGGCACTAGAATGGCTTGTTGCACTTCTGCTTGGGACTCAGGCAAAGGCGTCAACAGCGGCGGGACGCACTGCAGGAGATCAGAGGCCCAGCGCTCATCCTGCTCTTTCTAAAACGGTGGAAACCCCCCCCCCACGCCTCTACTGATCCCGGAGCCTCTCCTCCTGAGCAAGAAGGCAGTACCTCGCTGGCCAGCTTCTCGTACTCCTGCATCAGCTTCTCATTCTCCTGGTTGACTGCAAGCACTTTGCAAATCCGGTTGGCCGCCGTCTCGGCCTGGAAGCGGGAAGAGAGAAAAGGAAACGGGCCATTTAATCGCAGTTGAGAAGGACATTTTGCTGGGGTCTGGTTCACCTCCTCCTCCCTCAACTCTCGTAGGCTGACTTTTGAGACCGTAAAAGCCCCTAGAGGCAGAGGCCCTGTCTGGCTGCACTTTCTAGACCGTTGTATTGGAGGAGAACGAGCTCTCTACGACCCATAAGAAGACCTGGGAGGGAAAAGGGGGCTTATTTTTGCCATTACCTGTTCAGCACCAGCAAAGGCGTGATAGAAGCAAGAGACGTAAGTCATGATGGCTTTCTCGTCCGGTTTGGGGGTGTTGACAATATCTGTGGGGGGGGGAAACAGAGGAGCTGAAGGCGGGCAGAGAATGTGAGAAAGAGAACTCTTCCGAGGGGTGGCACGTAGAAAACGGTGTCAGAAGCCGGAGAAGCCTTTGGCACAGAAAAACGAGAGGCTTCCACACACGCTGTATACACCTTTTGCACCCAGGAGCTCCCAAAAGACACACCTTTTGGAGGGTGGATGCCCCTCCTCCACAAAAAAACACTTGCGCTCACTGTGTTCCAAGCCCTCCTCGTCCCTCTCCGCCCCTAAATGGTCCAGGAATGGGGGTCCCTGGCTTCTTACCTTCCGCGTCCAACATCTTAGGGATATCCAGGTATTTCTCCGCCACCTCAAAAGCTGTGTTGAGGTTCCCGATGGGGTCATCCTGCGTAGAGGTCAACACAGAGGGCTTGTGTTACTTCCCACAAGGTGGGGGAGGAAGACTGGTAAGGTGATAGATGGGGGCAGAGCGGGGTTCCCCACACACACACACCCTTCTTCCCTTGCTACTTGGCCCATTTCATAGGACATGCTGTGAAGAGCAGACTCTTAAGTTGCTCAGCCGCGCAAGCTCCCTGGGCCGGTGGATGGCTGCAAAAGCATGGTCCAGGGGGAGGGAGCGCAGCCCGCAGTGGGATCTCAGAGAACGAGGATCAAAACCAGAGCCGTTGAGTTACATGTGGGTCACAACGCTGCCTCAAAAGAGGACCAAGGCTCAACCACCCCCAGGGGCGATCAGGGTCAAGCCCAGAGGAAAAGGGCCCCTTTCGGGCAGGAGGCAAGAGGACACGGGCACCTTTCGGAGCTTGGCGTAGTCAATGAGGTCAGGGCGGTGCCGGTGGATCAGAGCGCAGAGAGCAAGGCCGTCTTTCCAGCTGGTCAGTGGGCCACGGAGAAAGAAGAGAGAGAGAGACGGAGTGAGTATTTTCACACCAGCAATTCCTTCCCGACTCGCCCAGTTTTGGATGATGGAGAGTGAGGAGGAGATCAAGTAGACCTCTCAGCCAAGCACTGAATCCCTTCCTGCCTCCTCTGTTGCAACCCCATCAAATGTGGGAACGGGGTGGGGGGAGGAGAAGAAAGAGCCGAAAGCAGCCAGTCTCTCCACAAAGCCAGCGCTGCTTCCCTTCCTCCTCCCTCCCAAGCTTTCTTCTGGCTCATCCTCTCCCTCGCGCACAAGGCATGGATCAAGCCCACACAGGCAGCTTCGGCCTGTCTTCTCTAAAAACTTTTTCTTTCTTTCTGCATGGGCGAGGATGCAACATGCCTGCTCGGGCAAAGACACGCAGGCAAGGGAGACCCCGCTCGGGCTGTGTGTTGACAGAGGGCGATGGTGGTGGTGCAACATTTCAATGTCCTGCCTAAATTTCCTCAAGCTCATCGTGCTGTGACAGCCCGCTCTTCAGTTCCTCGCACGCAGCGGATGATCGGCCGAACACGACGGACCTCAGATCATCTCCTGTCCGAGTCCCCTGACAAAACCCCTGTACCTGATGTGGAAATTCTGCACGTTGACATTCCGGTAGGGAGCCGTCTTCCTCTGGCACCAGAGCAGCAGCCCCTCTTTGGCCGAGGTTTCTGGAAAAGTCAGGAAGAAAAACACGCACACACACCCCGGGTTACAGCTCTCCTAAAAAAGCCTAGATGAAAACTCAGGAATTTCCACCTGCTTTCTTACGCCTGGGGAAGCCACTGCTTCGTCCAGGCAGGAGATGCTCAGTTTCTCCAAATGCTTTGGGCTTCGGCTCCCAGCCCACCTTGCCAATAAGGGAGACGGCAAGAGATTGCGGTAGCTCTCATCCGACCCCTGTTCTAACCGGGGCTGTCTATTCTGACTGTCTTTTCTTTGGTTTCTCCTAAAGGACCAGTTCAAAAACTGCCTGCCATCAAATCCATGGCATCGGCGGCGGGCAGTTCCTCAACTGCCCCGTGAAGACACAACACGAAGCCTCAGCGATGGTCTACCAGAGTCTTAAGGAAAAAATGTCACTTCTCCCGTTTCTCCACCAAGGAGCAGAGGAAGTGTTCAATTCGCTGATATCCTGAAGTGGCTCGCTTATTATTAAGCCCCTTCTCGATATCAGAAGGAGCCAAACCAAATAGCATAGCATAGGCATCCTTCAGTCTCGAGAGACTATGGTAACATGCTCTGAATCGAGGAGTGTCCTCTCCAGAGCATGAAGCCCGGGTAAGGTAATATGGAGGATAGGCTGTTACCCAAGCAGCAGATCCCCCCTCTTCCCATTGCTGAAATGGTCCAATGGAAAGGCAAGAGCCAATACAACTGGTTCCAGCAACGTTGCAGGAGTTGGCAGAAGGACATGAACTGCCTTCGGGGCTCCAGCTCCGGATTTTGCCTCTAGGTTAACTCCTGAAGCCAAATAATGATAACAGATAATAATTATAGAACGGCAGAGCTGCCAGGGACCCTCCTTATGGATCATTGAGTCCAGCCCCTGTTCAAGGAGAAGTATAGAACGGCAGAGCTGCCAGGGACCCTCGTTATGGATCATCGAGTCCAGCCCCTGTTCAAGGAGAAATCGAACCTCCAAACTCTTGGCTCTGCCCCCAAAGGCCTAAAGCACCAAGCTTTCCAGCTAGGATCGCCTTGAGCTCTGATATGTCATCTGGGCGCAAAGACCAAACCAAATGGAGTAACGTGTCTCCAGCCAACCACAGTTGACTTGATTTTGCCTGTACCGGCCCAGTCTCCAGAAGGGCCAGTGTGGGAAAAAGCCCCGGTTCTTCTACCTCAGGAGGCCACCAACGCCTTCCCCTCTTAGCAAAGCAGGTGGCCGAAGCACCAAGGGGGGCCCCTGTCCCACCTGGTAATGGAAAAAGGAGCGAGGTCGACCATCACATGAAGAACGGCTGTCGTGTTTACCTTCCACTGAGATATCCTGGATGGCAAAGCGGAGGATGATGGTCCAGATCATGCCCAGGGTCATCTTCAAGTTTCCGTCCACAATTTCTGGAACAGCCCAGAAGGGAAAAACTTAAGAGAAAGGCAGTGGGAGGAGACAGAGGAAGGGGAGCATCTGCCTCGCTGGTGCAGATGAGATGCTCGTGGGACCTTTAGTTATACACCAAGACAGACAGAAGGACGGACGGACGGAGGGAGGGATGAAGGATGGCTGTCCTAGTCCCTAGGAGAGCAGCAAAATCCACCACAGTTGGCCAACAGAGCTTTATGAATAGCAATCAAAACATCACAAGAGTGAGCAGACTTCTCCGTTATTCAGAGTTCTGCATCCGATCATGAAGACGGGATCTGTCCTGTGTCGGACAACCCTTTTGTTCCGTTTTCCCATCCTCAACATTTTTGGGGGACTATCTGGTGGGATGAAGAGACCCTCATAGCTGGAACCGTTCAAGTTCAAGCTGGTTTTCTGGCCAGCGCCCCCGTCCGGTGACACTCACTCACCCTCAGCCCCGATGGACACCAGTTTGACCCCTTTGCTGGCGATGAAATCCAGGGCCTTGTTGACATTGGCGATCTTGTGGAAGCGCATCTTGCCCTTGTCCGGCTTTGGCAAGCGTTCGCCTGGGGGGGGGAGGAAGAAAAGGAGAAGGGTTGGGGGAAAGGAAAGCAGGGCCTAACCCCACCCGCCTGCCCTCCACAGATGGACACGGAGGTCCCCGCTGCCTTGGCACACCCTCCCTCTCTCTCATATCTCTAGCTAGTTTCTCCGGGAGGCTCAGGAGCAGAAGCTGCCTTATAGCAACAGGCCTTCAGACTTTCCAAAGTATGACCCCCAGCATCTCCCAGCCAGTGGACGGGGACATAGTGGGAACTGCGCTTTTAAAAAGACATGTTTCCAAGGTGTGGATGACGCTTTTACAGCCCAGGTTGACCTACACAGACTGGCAGTGGCTCCCCCAAAGGAAGACCTTTCCTACCGCCCGCTACCGGGTTCTGTTTTCTTAAGAGACAGCAGGAGCAAAACTTGGAAACTTTGGCGTGCAAAGGTTCGCTGCACCACAGAGCTACGATCCTTCCTCTGGAGGGATCCCAAGCAAGACAAGAGAGGCATCTGAGCCAGGATTCCATCTACGTCCCTCTATGTCTCTTTAGACCACGTGTTCCATCCTCCTTAACCACTGGCAAGGCTCGCTGAGGTTAATGGTATCAGGAGTCCACAATTATCTTTTTTTTTTTTTAAGTTTCCTTCCCCATGCATTGTTTCTTCTTAAATCTGAAACCTGCAAATCTTGTGGGCTGGCAGTGAGCAGTGGCCCGTCCTTCTTATCCCTTCTCCTGCCTGTAGCGGATGGGCTGTTGTTGTTGTTGTTTTCTTGTGTTCTGCAACAGCCGCCTCACCCTCCCCTCTTGTGCCCCACAGGTTCCAGGCCTCAGGTTCCCCCCCCCCCAGGGATTTCCTTACCTGAAATCACTTCCAGGAGAAGCATGAGCTTCAGGCCGTTCCGGAAATCTTCCTCAATGTTCTCAATCTGTGTCCCTGCTTTCCTCAAGTGCGAGTTGCACCAGGCTGTGAACGTCTGGGGGGAAAACCAGAGGCGGAAGGTGAGGGTCATGATGTCAAAGGCCTGAAATCATCACTAAAACGCCGGTTCTCCGGGGAGGAGGGGAAAAGCCTCCACGCAGAAGCAAGACCTACTGATGCCCCCCCCAAAAAAATAGACTGGGAGGTGATGGCAGATTTAAATTTGGGGTGCCAGGTTGACAAAATAGTGTGGCTCAAGGCCACCCACATGGGTTTCCAACACCTGCACAACTAAACAGCTCGGAATTTCACAGCCCGTCATTAACCATACTGTACGCACACCTTATAAAATGCATCAAATCATCAAGACGGGCCATCGGTGTGAACCATGTCCTTCCATCAGATTAAAAGCTTTGAATGAGGCTCCTTAGAATAAGCAGGCTACAAAACGGGATAAACCTGAAAGAACCTCATCACTCGTCAGTGTTGTTAACAACGAGACCGCGCCGGCAGAAGGAGCAGGGTGGGAAAAACCACCCAGTTCCCTTGTTCAACGAGCCCAGGCACCATCCAAGGGTTGGCATTCAAGATAAATGCCAAAGTCAGATTCCTCTGAGCTAAAGAGGGGAGGTTTTATGGACACTCAAGACGGATTCATCTTATTTGCCACCAGGTCGCTTTCAACGTGCAGCCACCGATGAGTTCCCGACGGTCAGAAAGATCCAAGCATTAACACCAGCTGAGGTCCGGCAAAATGGAGGCCATGGCTTCCTCTATTCCTCCTGGGGAATCTGGTCTAAACCAAAGATGATGTTGCAAACTGCTCCATCCGCCTGTCTCTTGACAAAACAACTCGCCTAGGTAAGTCCGGGATAGACTCCTGCTCGGGAAGCTCCGTTGGGCCAGGGACCACCCTCTCCTCCTGACCTACATTATTGCGGGATGCTTTTGAAGATAAAGGAGAGCGGGGGGGGGAAGACTTCATACACCACACTTTTCGAGTCACTAGAAATATAATGAAATAGAGCAAGGTAGCAATTTCCAGGACAGTCACGTTAGCTCGTTGCAGAAAACACACCAGGAGGTTCGCATTAACTTTAGGACTAACCCATTTCTATTTTCCACAAGCATTCCCAGGCAGCCAATCGGTGGAGCTAAAGGGAGCGCCACACTGTTCTTCCCATGAACCAGCCTTGCAAAAATGTTGAAATTTTGGGCACCTCCAGAGAAGGCAGGATTCTCTGGGGGGGGGGGGGAACATTGTGCTCGGAAAGACAGAAGGGCAGGCCTTTATTCTTGATGAGGATGATGTTTCTCTGGTTGTACTGCAATTATTCTTGAAGACAAACTGTATTTTGATTTAATTCTTTAAAAAAAAAAAAACCTCAGCAGGTTTGCAGGCTCCTTTTGAGCCCTATCCACCAGGCTTGCCTTCACCTACAGCAGGCTTAAGGTCAGAATATCAGAAGGATTCTTGCAGAACGAGACCTCGTTCTGGACTTTCCTAAAGTCCCTTCCCTCTCCTGGTTCTGAGGGTCAATCAAAACTCTCTTGAATCCATCGAGTTTTTAATATTGAACGTTTTACAGGTTTTTAATCCCGAGACTGATAAATCCGACTGCATTGCTTTGTTCTTTTCTTTTCACAAATATAAACCAGGTCTAATGGGACTGCCACGTTCCCGCATCTTTCATTTCATAGAATCACACCTAATGGAGTTGAAAGGGGCCTCTAATTTATTTATTTATACATACATACCCCGCCTATTTGGTCATTATGACCACTCTAGGCGGCTTACAACACAAAATACATGAACAAATATAGGAAAATGAATTTTTACGCAATTAGACCATTCTACAAGGCCATCGAGTCCAGATGTTTTGGACGACAACTCCCACAATCCTTCATCCCTGGCAATAAGAGCAAGGGATTCTGGGAGCTAAAGTCCAAAACATCTGGATCACAACTCCAGATGTTCACAGGCAACAGCTTTTGCCTCCCCCAGCCCGTAAAGCTAATACTAGAGGTTTATGTTGAGTCCCACGCCAATGGCACCCAAAGGGTAACGTCTACTCTGCCTCTGAATTAAGGACACGCTCCACCGCCGCAGCCTCGAACCGGACAGAGAGCTGGTGGTACGATGATGACCTTTTATAGTGAAAATAAATTTTGCAGAGCAAATCAGGGAAGGCGAGAGAGGCTGCAGCGCCACAACCTAGCCGGTCACTCCCTCTAAACTTCCCCAAAGACCCCCCCAAAAAAAACCCTAGAACAATTCACAATACACAACAGCTTCCTGCCTCCTCATTTCTAGACTGGAAACCCTGGAGATTTCTTTCCCCTCCTCTCTGCCCTCTTGGCACAGTCCCCACTGCCCTGGACCGTATATATGTGGGAAAGTCACCTCCACAAAACCCTTCTCAACCTACAAGGCCTTTCCGCAAGCCACCAAGAACCACGAGACACAATTCTTAATTAAGAAAACGGACCCCTAAGTGTTTTTTTTTCTCCTGCATGGAATAATTTTATGATGATGCGGAGACCACTGGGGCGTAATTTTTTTTTGTACAGCTGCTTTGCATCTACTCACTTTGCACTAATGCTGTGCTAAAATCCATACCCACCACCCATACAGACACCTGTCAGCCGTGCACCCAGGGGCTGGGACCTCATCCTCTACCTCTTGCCTGCTGCTCGTTTGTCACGTATGCTTATTGGCACCAGATACTGTCTATCAACTGCCTTCACTTAGCTTTCCTTAGGGTTTTTTTTGTAAGACGTTAAAGATTTTTAGCTGTGATAGAAATCTAACTTGATTCGGGTTTCATCCCTCATACTACAGTGTATTGAACTGTACTGTATTGTATTT